TCCAATAAATTTGAGAACCTAGAAGAAATGCACAAATCTCTAGAAACACACTACCTATCTAAACGAACACAAGCTGATTGAAAATCTGAACAGACCCATAACAAGTAAAGAGATTGAGAGGTAATAAAAAAACTCCCAACAAACAAAAAATCCCTGGCCTGGATGGCTTCACTGAAAAATTCTACCAAACATTCAGAGAAAACTCATACCAGTACTACTCAAACTATTTCAGAGCATAGAAAAGGAAGGACTACTCTTGCATTCATTCCCTGAAGCCACCATAACTGTGATACCAAAGCCAGGAAAAGACATCACAAAAAAAGAAAATTACAAACCAAAATCTCGCATGAATATAGACGCAAAAATTCTCCACAAAATTCTAGTGAATAGAATACGGCATCACTTTGTTATGGATTGAATTGTGTCCCCTAAAAATATGTGTCAATTTGCCTAGGCCATGATTCCCAGTATTGTGTGGTTGTCCACCATTTTGTGATCTGATGTAATGATTTTATGTGTTGTAAATCCTAACCTCTATGATGTTAATGAGGCAGGACTGGAGGCAGTTACGTTAATGATGCAGGACTCAATCTACAGGATTAGGTTGCATCTTGAGTCAATCTCTTTTGAGATATAAAAGAGAGAATCGAGCAGAGAGGAGAGGGACCTCATACTACCAAGAAGGAAGCGCCGGGAGCAGAGCACTTCTTTGGACCCAGGGTCCCTGCACTGAGAAGCTCCTATACCAGGGGAAGATTGATGACACGGACCTTCTCCCAGAACCAACAGAGAGAGAAAGCTTTCCCCGGGACCTGGTACCCTAAATTCGGACTTCTAGCCTCCTAGACTGTGAGAGAACAAATTTCTGTTTGTTAAAGCCATCCACTTGTGGTATTTCTGTTACAGGAGCAAGAGATAACTAAGACACATATTAAAAAAAAAATACATGACCAAGTGAGATTCATCCCAGGTATGCAAGGACAGTTCAACATTAGAAAATCAATCAACATAATCCACCACATAAACAGAACAAAAGAAAGAAATCACATGATCATCTCAATCGATGCAGAAAAGGCATTTGATAAAGTCCAACATCCACTCCTGACAAAAACTCTCAATAAAAGAGGAATAGAAGGAAATTCTTCAGCATAATAAAGGGCATCTATACAAAACCTGGTGTACAGATGCCCTAGTGCCACAGTAGTTAATGTGCTCGACTGCTAACTGAAAGGCTGGCAGTTCAAAACCACCAGCTGTTCTGTGGGAAGATGTGGTAGTCTGCTTCTGTAAAGATTTACAGCTTTGGAAACCCTGTGGGGTTGCTATGAGTCAAAATCAACTTGACGGCAGAGGGTTTTTTTTTTTTTTTTAAATTTTAAATATAAAACCAACAGCCAATAGCATTCGCAATAGAGAGAGGTTGAAAGCATTCCCTCTGAGAATGAGAACAAGACAAGGACGCCCTTTATCTCCACTCCTATTTAACATTGTGCTGGAAGTCCTAGCTAGGGCAGTAAGGCAAGAAAAGGAAATAAAGGTAATCCAAATTGAAAAGGAAGAAGTAAAACCATCCCTATCCGCAGATGATATGATTCTACACGCAGAGAACCCCAAAGATTCCACCAGAAAACTACTAGAACTAATAGATTCAGCAGAGTAGCAGGATAGAAGATCAACATACAAAAATCAAACAGAACTTTGAAGAGGAAATTGGGAAAGCAATACCATTTATAATAGCCCCTAAAATACTCAGGAATAAATCTAACCAGAGACTAAAGGACCTATGCAAAGCAAACTACAAAACACTATTGCAAGAAACCAAAAGAGACCTACATAAATGGAAACACATACCATGCTCACGGATAGGAAGACTCAACATTGTGAAAATGTCACCCTACCCAAAGCGAACTACAGATATAATGCAATCCCGATCCAAATACTAACAGCATTCTTTAACGAGATGGAAAAACAAATCACCTACTTTATATGGAAAAGAAAGAAGCCCTGGATAAGGAAAGAATTATTGAAGGAAAAGAATAAAGTAAGAGGCCTCACACTACCTGATCTCAGAACCTACTATAGTCAAAACAGCCCGGTATCGGTACAACAACAGACACACAGACCAATGGAACAGAATCAAGAACCCAGATGTAAATCCATCCACCTATGGTCAGCTGATCTTTGACAACAGATGAAAGTCCATTAAATTGGGAAAAGACAGTCTTTTTAACAAATGGTGCCAGCAAAACTGGATGTCCATCTGTAAAAAAATGAAACAGTACCCATACCTCACATCATACACAAAAATTAACTCAAAATGGATCAAAGACCTAAATAGAAAACTTAAAATGATAAAGATCATGGAAGAAAAAATAGGGACAACGCTAGGGACCCCAATACACAGCATAAACACAATACAAACCATAAGTAACAATGCACAAACACCAGAAGAAAAGCCAGATAACTGGGACGTCCTAAAAATTAAAAACTTAGGCTCATCAAAAGACTTCACCAAAAGAGGAAAAAGAGAACCTACAGACCGGGAAAAAATTTTAGGCTACAACATATCTGAGAAGGGTCTAATCTCTGAAGTCTATAGAGTATTTCAACATCTCAACAACAAAAAGACAAATAATCCAATTAAAAAATGGGCAAAGGATATGAACAGACACTTCACCAAAGAATAAATTTAGGCAGCTAACAGACACATGAGGAAATTCTCATGATCATTAGCCATTAGAGAAATGCAAATCAAAACTACAATGAGATACCATCTCACCCCGACATTACCGGCATGAATCAAAAAAACAGAAAATAAAAAATGTTGGAGAGGTTGCGGGGAGATTGGAACTCTGATGCGCTGCTGGTGGGAACGTAAAATGGTACAACCACTATGGAAAATGATATGGTGCCTCCTTAAAAAGCTAAAAACAGAAATCCCATATGATCCAGCAATCCCACTCCTAGGAATATATCCTAGAGAAACAAGAGCCGTCACACGAACAGACATGTTCACTGAAGCATTATTCACAATAGTAAAAAGATGGAAACAACCTAAGTGCCCATCAACAGGTGAATGGATAAACAAATTACAGTACATACACACCATGGAATACTATGCAACGATAAAGAATAATGATGAATCTGGGAAACATCTCACAACGTGGATGAATCTGGAGGGCATTGTGTTGAGTGAAAATAAGTCAATGCTGAAATAAAAGAGTAAATATTGTATGAGATCACTATTATAAAAACCTAAGAAAAGGTTATATACAGACAGAAAAAAACTTTGATGGTTACAAGGGGTGGGGGGTGGTGGGGAGAGGAAATCACGAACTAATCAATAGACATGTTAACCTTGGTGAAGGGAAAGACAACTCACAATATAGGGGAAGGCGGCACAACTTGACCAAGGCAAAGTCATAGAAGCTTCCTAGACACATCCAAACACCTTGAGGGACTGAGTTACTGGGGATGAGAGCTGGGGATCATGGTCTCGGGGGACATACAGGTCAACTGGCATAACATAGTTCATAAAGAAAATGTTCTACATCCTACTCTGGTGAGTAGCATCTGGGGTCTTAAAAGCTTGCAAGCAGCCATCTAGGATACATCTATTGGTCCCATCACATTTGGAGCAAGGGAGAATGAAGAAAACCAAAGACACAAGGAAAATATCAGCCCAAAGGACTAAAGGACCACGTGAACCACAGCCTCCACCAGCCTGAGCCCAGAAGAACTAGATGGTTCCCGGATAACGCCACCAACCGCTCTGACAGGGATCACAAGAGAGGGTCCTGGAGAGAGCGGGAGAAAAATGTAAAACAAAATTCAAATTCACAAAAAAAGATCAGACTTACTGGTCTGACGGAGACAGAAGGAACCCCCGAGACTCTGGCCCTCAGACACCCCATTAACTCAGAACTGAAGCCATGCCCAAAGTCCAGCTTTCACCAAAGATTAGACAGGCCTATAAAACAAACAATAGCTCACGTGAGGAATGTGCTCCTTAGTTCAATCCAGTGTATGAGACCAAATGGGCAACACCTGCCCAAAAGCAAAGACAAGAAAGGACAGGAAACCTGGACAAACGGACCTGGAGAACTCACGGCAGAAAGGGGGAGAGGGCTGCCACTTTGCAGGGATCGCCACCAACGTCACCGAACAATTTGTGTACAAATTTTTGAATGAGAAACTAATATGTGCTGTAAACTTTCTCCTAAACACATATTAAAAAATTTAAAAAAATTACTTTGTTTATGCACTTTCAATACCGATTTAGTATACTCTTCATTACTGATTGTGTGAACTGGGGCAACATTTTATCAGTGGCTATGTGGCCTTGTGCCTCGGTTCCCTCCTCTATAAAATGATAAACCTATCACACAGATTTGTTGACAGTGACATGAGTTGATATAACTAAATCTCTGAAGATACTTCCTGCCACGTGATAAATGCAACATAAGGGCTAGCTATTATCTTTATTATGAAGCATCACTGGGCCAACAAGGGATGACGGAGGAGCTGTCACATCTCCTGCTACTCATAGAGAGAGACAGGAGAGTGGAATTGTGAGTCAGATGGGTTAGGTACTCTGTGGCCACATTCCCCAATTACTAGGTCGGGTCCCAGACCTGGGGACTTGCCTCAGTTTGCCCAGGCAGCAGAAGGGGCCCTGCTGAGCACAGTCTGCCTCCTGGGGCCAAGCCCAGTCATCTGGTTTCCCTCTTGCCCTTCTACTCTCAGGCCTGGTTCCTGGGCAGTTAGGAGAGGCTCAGTGCTGGGTTCTGGGCTGAGAAGTAGACCAGCGAGCTCTGTGCAGGTGTATCAGGACAACGCAAATGGCAACAGGTGACCCTGGTTTCCCACTGGTCACTGTTTCCTGGGCAAGATCTCCCTTGGGAACCTCAGGAGGCAGCGAGGGGCTGAGACTGGGTTAGAGCTTGCCGACCACCGTCTGACCACACGGGGCCCCCACCCCACAGCCGAACCACACCCACCAACTCGTCGGAGGCCTGAGGAGGACTGTAGGATGGGAAGGCGAAGGGTAGCACGTCGCTGGGCGCCACGGAGAACCGTGCGGAATAATCACTGTGACCGACGCCAGGCAGGAAGAGGTACTTGGGGGATTTCTCTTCTGTGGGTAAAAACAAAAACAGTACTTTTAGGAGTTTCGTAAAGTGTTTTTATGTAAAGCCACCATTTTTAGTTGCGTATTTGCCATGCGCCAATTAGTTTACAACACATTTCAAAAAGAACACACACACATATATTTTCTTTTTTCATTTTTAGTTCTTCATTCCTTACCTCAACCCCTTCTCCAGCTTTTACAATTTTTATTTTATTTCCACTTCCCAAAACTATAATTCCTAATTAAAGTATCTCTTATGAATACTTTTTGTTTTTCCCAGAAAAGAAAAAGGTTAAATCAAAGAAGTACATGAAGGCATTTTGCGGATATCCACACAGAATTTGCAGGTAAATTTTACAATGCTGTTTTTATAAAGAGAGTTTCTTTATTAAAACTTAATTACCAGAGACAGAAATAATAGTAACCCTCTGCCATGTTATTTTTGGAGTTGAAGGACAAATTATATGGCTGTTATTTTTGTCCCTGGTATTAAATAATTAAAATGCTGCAGAATGTACTGAAAATAGAAAACACACACCTGGATACTGGTGGAGAGACAGGGAAGGAGGGTGGGCTTGCTGCCTGGGAAGGAGGCGAGGCCTGAACTGGGCGCAGAGGGGCAGGTTTTGAGGGAAGAGAGGACCTGGACAGATCAGGGCCTGCCTGTGGACCTGCGTAAGATCCATGGATTGGAAAGACATATATTGGAAGAAGATGGTATAGCTTTTGGACGCCTAGAAGCTACTGAGGATAGGCCTCCAACAGCCCCGGCTAACCTGGGGATCAAAGGGTTGAAATGTCTTTAAATAGCAAAGGCTTATGTCCCACAATACGAGATGAAAAGCTTTCCTTGCAAATGCTGGTTGAGACAACACCAGACTCAGTCAGCCAATCAGCAAATATAAAAGACGACAATCATAGTCCCCCTGGTTTCAAGGGGGTTTGCACACAAGATAGTAGGTCGGAACCACAGTCCGATCTCACAGATGTTACCACTTGGCCTCGGGTCAACTTGTTTACTATCACTTGGGTAGGTGTTTTGGGGAAACTTGGCATGGAGGTCTGCATTACGTGATGTGGTCACCCTCCATCCCGCAAGATCTCCACATCTTAATTTCCAGAACATGTGAATATGTTACCTGACATGGCAAAAGGGACTCTGCAGTTGTGATTAAATTAGGGATCTTGAGATGGAGAGATTATTCTGGATTATCTGGGTAGGTTCAGTGTGATCGCAACAGGCCTTATAAGAGGGAGGCAGGGGGCCAGAATCAAAGAAGCAAATGTGGTGACCAAGAGGTTTGAGCGACGTGAGGAAAGGGGCCACGAGCCAAGGGATACAGGCAGCTTCTAGAAGCTCAAAAAAGCAAGCAAATGGATTCTTCCCTCCAGCCTCCAGAAGGACACAGCCCTGCTGATACCTTGATTTTAAACTTCTGACCTCCAGAACCGTAAGCCACTACGTGTGTGCTGATTTGTTACAGCAGAAATAGGAAAGTAATACGCATGATTTATGGAAAAGTCTTGTTTCTACCCAGCTACCTTCATAATAAAGGAAACTTCTGCTCAGAGAAATCATCAGCTAAGCAGCACTGTGCTTCACAGGCACACCTTACCTAACAACGATTTTTTCCCTTGGCTGACTCTTCCCTTTACGGTCTCTCTGTCCATTTCACGAATCGCACCCAGCATACTGACTAATCGTCGATGAATCATGACCTGCAATTGGAGGGAATAAGGATTTCAGGTTATTAACCGATACATGCTCATTTAGGCATTCAATTTCATTCACTTTCCCCCAACCACAGCTGAGGGCTGAGACCCCCACTCTCAGAGTTCATGGGCAGAGGGCCATGCTGCCCCAGACTGAGGCCGCCGGGACGCCAAGGTCTGGGCAGTGCTGGCTTGCTTGAATACAGAACAGCCCATGCTGTCATCTAGCCTTGTCCCATCCAATTTATGACACCTGATTTTCCCATATCTCCAGGGTGGAAAGAATGACTTCTTTTGGAATGTCTGAATAGTAACCCTCTGCCATGTTATTTTTGGAGTTGAAGGACAAATTGTATGGCTGATTCAGTAGAAACAGGGCCATGAATTACAGGCGATGATAACTGTGTACCACTGTGCTTTGCATTCAGAGCAGATGCTACTGAAGATGTGTTTGACCTACGCACAAGAGCTGGGGCTGAAGGAATCATTCATTCCATGATTTACACTCCTTCCCATTCTGTAAAGGACTCTTTCCTTTAACAGATATTATGAAGTGGCTATTTGGTGCCCAGGGGCAGTGGTGATTCCATGGTAGAATCTCGCCTTCCATGCGGGAAACCAGGTTCAATTTCTGGCCAATGCATCTCATGCATGGTCATCTGTCAGTGAAGTTGAACAGGTTTCAGCAGAGCTTCCAGACTAAGACAGACTAGGAAGAAATGCCCGGCAATCTACTTCCAAAAATCAGCCAGTGAAAATCCTACGGCTCACAGTGGTCCGCTCTACAACCCATCGTGGAGATGGCACAGACCAGGCAGTGTTTTGTTCTGTTGTGCATGGCTTGTCAGGAGGTGGGGGCTGACTCAACAGCAGCTAACAGCAACAACAATGCTGTGCCCAACATGTGTTAGGGAAGAACTGTGCTCCCCCCGTAGGGTTTTCAGTGGACCACTGGAGACACACTGGGAAGCAAGCAAAGGTCCTGCTGCATGGAGCTGACACTCCAAGGTGACATGGAAGAGGTGGGGTGACAATAAACACTTAGATGAACAAACGAGACAAATATCATGAAGACAATGGAAGAGGGTAAATGGACGAGGGCAGGACTGGAGGGGCGTCTGGCCACTGTGCAAGGATAGTCGGGGAAGGCTCTCCGAGGAGGTGACGCTTGGCCTGAGACTTCAACGCTGAGGAGACAGTGACGGAAAGATCTGGGGAAGAGGGTTCTGAGCAGAGGGAATCAGCAAGTGCAAAGATCCTGAGGCAGGGGCAAAGGACAGAGACAGCCAGCATGGCCTTGGAGCTTTGACAGGAAATGTGGATTTTCTTCTGATTGCCATGGGAAGCCTTTGGAGGGCTTTACCAGGGGCAGGATGTTATCATCTTTAAGCTTTGAAAAGACCACTCTGGCCGCTATGCATATGGGGACTGGAAGCAAGGATGGTCCAGGCAAGAGGTGATGGTGCCTGGGCTGTGGTCAGAGCTGCGGAGATGGTGAGACGTCACCTGGCTGGGGACATATCTGGACACAGAACAGATTTGTGTGGCACTGAGGAAAAGAGACCGAGCTGTCACTCAGAACGAAGCACATAACTGGTGACAGCATGCTTTTTTAGGCTGCAGGGCTTGGTCCAGAAGGGATAAGGTGGTCCCGCTGGTGGCGAGCCAGCCTGGCTGGTCTTTGGCTGCTGTTTGCCGACTGTCAACAGCTGTGCCCTCCACCGCCTTCTTCTCACTGAGCATCATGGGGCCACTTCTTGTCTGCGTGTACACAGAGCATGCCCAGGCAAAGCCTCCGCAGGAGACCTGGCTCCCTAGGGGCCTCGCTTGTGGGTGAGCAGGTCACCCGACAGAGTGAGCTCCACCTCTGGAAAGATAGCATTCAACATCAACTTCGGGAATTCTTTATACATATTTGCTCATTTAATCTTCACAGCAACCCCATGAGGGAGGTATTATTATCTTCATCGTACAGATCTGGAGTCCCTGGTTGGTGCAAATGGTTAACATACTCAGCTTCGAACAGAAAGGGTGGCAGTTCAAGCCACCCAGAGGCACCTCAGAAGAAAGGCCTGGCGATCCACTGAAAACCCTACGGAGCACAGTTCTACTCTGACACACAGGTTGTCGCCATGAGTTGGGGTTGGCTCACAGCAGCTGATATTTTTTATTGTACAAATCAGGAAACTGTCATGGAGATTATGTAACTTGTCTAAGGTCAGAAAGCGCATAAGAAGCAACACCAAGAATGACGCGTTCAGGTCTTAGCCTTCAGATCTCCCGTCTGAGGTGGGGCACCACGCCCACTCCCTCCCAGGCAGCCACATTCCAGTGGCGGGGACGAGAGATGCACGGGCAGCATAAGCTACAAGAGGCACAAAGGAGACCCCTAAGCGCTAAGCCTTTCAAGAGCTGTTTCTTGGAGGAAAGGTGGACTCCAGCTGTGCCCAAGAGGCATTATAGTTGGAGGATAAGGAGCAAACACACGGATGTGTAGTCAGAACGCGCATGACGTGTTTGGAAGAAAATGAGGACTGGGACACAACAGGGACAGTGAGGGACCGGAGAGGTGTGGCTGCAGCCACACAAGAGGGTCACCGTGAGCCCCTGTTAACACTCCAGGCTGAGAAGCCTTCATTTTACCCGAGAGCAGAAAGCCACTGGAGGCTAGAAACGTACCAGGGGGAAGACCAGCATGAGGGTGAAGAAGGTGCCTGGACATTAGAGACGAGACCCCACAGGGCCACAAGGGTTCTCAGTTGTTCTCTCTAGAAATAACTGATCCAAACCCCACTGTTCGAGAATTACCACATGGCCAGGCAATTCCACTCTTAGGTGTATACCCAAGAGAACCGAAGACATATGTCCACACAAACACATGCATGTAAACATTCATAGCAGCCTTATCCATAACAGCCAAAAGGTGGAAACAACCCAAATATCCATCAGATGATGAATGGATAAACAAAATATGGTATATCCATGCAATGGCCCATTAAACCCAAGAAACCAAACCCGATGCCGTCGATTCTGACTCATGACGACCCGATACGACAGAGTAGAACTGCCCTGTAGGGTTTCCAAGCAGCGGCTGGTGGATTCAAACTGCCAATCTTTTGGAAGCAGCTGGACGCTTCATCACTGCACCACCAGGGCACGTTACTCAGCCATAAAAAGGAATTAAGAGAGAGAAAAAAGCATGAAATATGGATACGTGCTACAGCACGGGTAAGCCTTAACACGCTAAGCGCAAGAAGCCAGTTACAAAGGCCACGTGTTGTTATGATTCCATTTATAGGAAGTATCCAGAATAAGAAAATCCATACAGCTAGAAAGTAGTGTTTGCCTGGGGCCAGAGGGACAGAGGTGTTGAGGCATGATGCTAGTGGGCACGGGTTTTCTCTGCCGAGTGTGGAGAATGTTCTAAAATTAGATGGCGCTGATGGCTGTACAATGCTGTGACTGTACTAAGTACTTCTGAGGTGTACATTCTACAAGGGTAAACTTTATGGTCCCTGCAGAAGGACATCATGCTTGGTAGGGTAGAGGGTCGGCGAAAAAGAGGAAGACCCTCAACGAGATGGCCTGACACAGTGGCTACAACAATTGGGCTCAAGCATAACAAGGACTGTGAGGATGGCGCAGGACCGGGCAGTGTTTCGCTCTACTGTACATGGGGTCGCTGTGAGTCAGAACCGACTCAACGGCACCTAACAACAACAACAAATTTTACAGTATGTAGATAACAGCTCAATGAAACTGTCATAAACAAAAAAATCCCACTGTTCAATTTTCTTGTGCTGAGGATTAAACAAATCAGAGTTTCAATCTGGGGCTGAGACTGACCTTGCGTGCCGCCTGTTGAAACCGCCTTAGTGCTCTGAACCTGTTGGCCCAAGTGTTGTTAATGAGTGGATCAAAGCTGGGATGAAATTCCTCGATTTTCTGTGAACACAAAATATTGGCACGTTTTAAACTTTAGCTCTTGGCGTAAGCATCTAAAGAGAAAACAGAGTATTATTTTACAGCCTGATCCCAAATCAAATTATTCGTTGTTCATTCTGCCATGTAATTAGCATTTATTAAAGACTTCCAGTGGACATAGCACTGTTGGGGATACTTCTTGAGTTGCAAGCTGAAAGAGGAAGATGGGGTTTGGTTTTTAGCTGGGGAAATTCAAACAAACACGTGTGACTCTGAGGACAAAGGATAAAGGCACGCAAAAGTCAACCCCACGTGGTGGGCGCCGCCCAGCATCGGGCCTGAGAAGAGGAAACTGAGATTCGCTGGGAAGAACGAGGACTGTCTGGCTGGCCCTGCACGCCAACGCTGCACAGCACCCCTGACGTGGCCCACGCGGGCCTGGAATCAGTGAATGAACGAGGAAGGAGGGACCCCGGGGTGCACTGACTCAGCCAGAGTCAGTGTCTGGAGCAGTTAAACTTTAAATTTGCCCTTGCAGAAGAGATAAAGGGAGGACGAGCATATTCTTGAAGTGGCAAGGTAAAAGCAAGAAAGTGGTTAAAAAAAAAAAGGTGGTGGAGGGGACCATAAAAACTTGACTGAGGGAAGCAAAGGGCCATGGAACGGGACAGGAGACGGGGCCTGGCTTTGAAGTCAGAAAGCCTAATTCCAGCTCTAGTGTTCGCTGCTGGCTCTCACATCTGCCAAACAGAAACGTTCACACCTACCTCAAGCTTCTTCGAAGCACATAAGCTAACACACGTGAAAGCATTTCGTACATAACCAAGTTCTGGGCTCTCAAATTTGAGTGGGCGTCTCAGTCACCTGGAGGGCTGCGTCAAGCACACCTTGCTGGGCCCACTCCAAGAGTCTCCGATTTATCAGGTCAGGTGGGGGGACCCAGGAGTTTTCATTTCTAACGAGTTCTGGTCTAGGGACCACACTTTGAGAACCACGGATCTATGCAAACATTGAGCAAGTTGGAGTAGACTGAGCAGATCAGTGTGAAGGAAACAACGTAGGTTCTCGAACAGGAAAATGACATGAAGAAAAAGCCATCGGAAGTCAACTATTCTCACGCTGGCCCACGCAGTAAACTGCGCAGGAGGAGGAGGAAAGGCAGGGTGAACAGATCACCTGTTTGTTAGCTGACGGTCAGACATGAAGGGTGGATTCAGGTGTGGCCTGTGGAAGAGCTACCGGCAAGACTTCGTGGCCAGACTAGGTGCCAGAGAGAAGAGAGGAGGTAAAAATAACTCAGCTGTGGCAAAACCTAGTAAAGAAAAGTGAGGGCAACGGAGATGGGGAGGTTAGGAGGAATTTTTTCACTGGTAAAATGTAAAATTTGGGTTTTAAAAGGAAACTGTGTCCTAAGAGAGGACACCAGGTGGAAGGGCTACTGTCCCTGTTTCACGGTTGAGCACACTGAGGCACCAGAGCTAAGAGGGCTTTCCCCAGGTCCCATATCCCTGGAAGAGCAGGGACCAGAACTCCGGCTTCTGACTTCCGACAATCTTGTATCCTTTCTACCCAGGGGAGGGAGGCAGTACCTGCGGGCCTGCAGACAGGGGCCTGGAATGCCACGGGAAACGGAAAAGGGAGAAGAAGAAAAAGTGAGGGATGGAAGGGAGGATCCGAAGCACAGAATGCTGCTAATTTCAAGGGAAGAATTAATTCCAAGTTTGGATGCTTTACTTACAGACACATAGTAAAAAGCATTTTGGAAATGTAAGCATATTAAAAATGACTAAATATCTCTTGGTAAAATGGTTTCTACAGAATTATTAAGTGTTTTTTTTTTAATTTTTAATAAGCATATAAGAGTTGCCAATCGTAAGATTATAAATAAAGGAAAGTTACCCACGTCTTCTAGGTTGCGAATAATCCGTTTGTGGCTAACTTCCGTCCTGAGTCGCTCAAATTCCTCATTCTCAATGGGATCTCCTCGATCTAGCTGGGTTTTTTATCGTGAAAAATATTAAAGTTGAATACAAATGCATAAGACTTTGGCTTTCAAACTGGTAGAAACCCGTTAAGCAATTGGTCAGACCCAGCCGTAGAGTTAGTTCCCCCTGGGAGTGGTGGTGAAGGCACCTGCAGGCTAATGAGTTCATTATAATGACATCTAACGGTACGCAAAGGGGGCGTTTATAGAAGCCCAGGCCTGATGCCTCCTTTGTGTGAATAGAATAGAGGATAGCGCGTCCAGAAGTTATCCCTGAGGCATTTAAAAGTCACAAGAAGAGTTTTAGGAAATCTTGTTATTTTGGATGTACATAGGAAATTTAATCTCCCAGTGAAATTTTAAGCTCCTCAGTTGATTAGCCATGTATTGAGTATTAACTAATCCACGTGATTCCCCTTTTTTCTGAGAGGTGGTGGTTGGAGAGGCCTTCGGGGCCGGAAAGGGACCTGCCTCTACCCTTGGAGTAACTGTCTCCAAGTTGCTTCCTTACCCCACCTGCTTGCTTCCCAATGGGCCTCTGGCCCAAGCTCCTCATATCTGAGCCTTCTTTCCTGCTCCCCGGGAGCCATGATGACTCTGTGGAAGGCTTGGCTCAGCGTATGCACACGCTTGCCTCTGCGCAAGGGGGGACCATGCACACTGCACATCTGGTTGGTTTTTGCTGAGTCTCTGGGTGCTGCAAATGGCTAAGCACTTGACTACTAGCTGAAAGCTGGTGGTTCAAACCCACCCAGAGGTGCCTCGGAAGACAGATCTGGCAATCTGCTGCTGGAAAGAACCGACAACAATGACTTCTACTATTTGTTTGTTGGGAAACTTCTAAAACTAATTTGGCCCTTAGGTACACTGTTCATAATCACTTCTGAAGACTTAACCGGGTGGAATGTGTCCTGATTACCACACCAACACTCTGTTCAGATCTAAGAGAGTTAGTTATATTACGGTCACCAGGGTGGTGAGCTGTCTAGCTCCTTTAACACTGCTTTGAACATAACAGAAGTTGGGTTTGAGATTGTGGATCTTAGGTGCAAAACACAAATTTTGTGGGGAGAGATACAGACCACCACCACTAAAAACAAAATAAGCTATTTAAAAAGAGATTGGCAGGTAGGTTGTCAGTGGGGATAAAGAGGAGGAAGTTTTCTTATATCTTTATTATTAAAACTTTACCTGTTTATGATGAACATTTCAGAATTTAATATTCTTGATCTTCTCCCCTGAGTAAAAAGCTCAACACCCTTTAGGGTTTACGCCATCCAGCTGTACGGCTGACTCCCCACACCACTCCTGCCATCCCATCCCTACCACCTCTCTTTTCCCAACCTCCACCATATGTCTTTGGATGCTCCTTGTCACTGGTTCATCTGCCAGGGCTCAGCTGCCAGGTGAAATCCCTGGACACAGAGAATAGAGTCTCTACAACACTCGGTCTCCAACTACGCTGGGGCCTCAGGTTGCCTGCTCATTCTTTCACTTGTCCTTTCCTTCTATAATTGTTCTTTACCCCGAACCTAGTAATATGCTCAAGTTCTTCCAACCCAGAAACCCCTTCCTTGACCCCTCATTCTTCTCTAATTGTCCATATGATCACTCTTGGCCCCTGCACGTCTCAACTTCTCAAAAAACTATCTGCTTCCTCACGTCTACATATTCCTCTAAGGAGCCCTGGGGGCGCAATGGTTAAGCGCTTGGCTGCTAACCAAAAGGTCAATGGTTCAAACCCACCCAGCGGCTCTGCATGAAAAAGAGCTGGATTACAACCTAAGAAACCCTAGTGGGTAGTTCTACTCGGTCACGTAGGATCACTGTGAGTTGGAATTGACTTGACGGCACACAACAACAACACATTCTCTGACTGATCACAGTTTCACTTTTTACCACCACAAGTCTACTGAGATGGCCATCCCTAGGGCAAACAATGACCTCCAAACCGCCAAACGTGCTGTGTATTTTCAGGCCTCCTCATCCTGGAACCTTCTGTTGCACTTGTCTGATCCCCATCCTTGTACTTGAAGCTCACTCCTCCCTTTGTCTCCTTGTTGTCCAACTCTCCTGACCTTTGTGGCCACTAGTGGTCCCCTCTGCTCTCCCCTTAAATCATGAAATTCTCTAGATTGTCTTCCCGAAGCCACTGCCTTTCTCTGCTATTCACTTTTCTTGGGCCACCACTTCTGCTCTGCAGTCTCCTCCTCCATCTCCACGCTGATCACTCCTAAGCCTCTGTCTTCAGCTCAGACTTGCCTCCCAGCTGCCACCTAGATGCCCCATCACCCCAAATGCGTCATGTCTCAGACTAAACTCTTCATCTTCCCCCAAGCCAGACCTTCCTCCCATATTTGAGATACCATTTACAACCATCAATATGCATCCAAGCTGGAAACCCAGGTGCCGTTCCATCCTCTCCCTTTCCTTACCCCTCCCCTCGAATTTGTCAATCAATTATATCTCTAACATTGCACCTCATGATGCGTCTGTGCCTCTCTGGACCGTGCCCTTTTGAGGGTAGGACACCATAGCTTAGTCACTAGTACTGAATCTAAACACACTTATAGAAGAATAAATAGCTGAGCTTGCCTGGCAACTAAATGCTGGCAATTACAGCCTTAAACGTCACATTGACCTGGCCATAGCATATTTATGTCACCTCTATGCCCTGGTGGCACAGTGGTTAAGAGCTCAGGCTGCTAACCAAAAGGTCGCCAGTTAAATCCACCAGTGCTCCTTGGAAACACTATAGGACAGTTCTACCCTTTCCTATCGGGTCACTATGAGTTGGAATTGACAGCAATGGGTTTTTTTTTTAATCTTTATAAAGTCAAGAGATACACCACTATGGTGCTGATAGAAAATACTTGATATTTTGTTTATAAAACAGCATTCAAAGCATCTTAAAAATGCACCAGACTAAATTTAAATGCAAATCTAATATGCACCTCTCGTAAATGCTGAAACTTATCAATGTAGTGTAATGATTTTACATTCTTTAGTTTGTCTTGTAAGAAATAAAAAAAGAGAAATTTATCCAAAGATTCTAAATCTAGGAGGGAAAACGTACTCTATATGAAAAATATGTTCATGTCTGACAAGATGCATAGGTTGTCCCTAATCCATCCCACTCATTGCTACCACGTTAGCTGACCTGAAGCTCGCTTGCAGCCCCAAGCTTAGAAATGTGAGGACTCTGCAAGGCCCACCAGATGAGCCCAAGGCCCCACCACGGCTTCCAAACCCCTCCCACACGGAGCCCCAGCCCCAGCCCCAGCCCCTGGCTCCGATGGCCCATGTGTGGCCTATGTCCTAGCCACCATGGCTCATCCCCAGGGTTCCCTGCACCCAGCTCTCTGCCTCCCAAGCCATGGTGAGGTCAGGGGTGTTCCACAGTCCCCTGAGTTCCTGTTTCGACTCTACCCACCCTGAGCCTGCAGCTGTGGCCTTGGTGTCCCAGGCGTGGCCCCCTCCCCTCAACCCAGTTTCCCCCTCTCTGCTCAGCCCCTTTGAGTGTCTCTGTCATGGGAGTTTCTGTTTGGATCTGGTCCAGCTTGGCTCCTGGTCACTGTCTTTGGGTCTCTCTTGTCTTCACACTTTGTAGATCACAGACACAGGCACCTCATGCCCGTAATCCAGCCTGCCTTTGAGCCATTCCCTCCATCCGGAATGCTCTCTCCTCGTTACTACTTCTCGAAATTATACAACATCTTCCAGGAAGCTTTCCAACTAGAGAAGCTCTCTTTCCCCTCTACTTCTGAGTCCCCACAACACTCAGTACAGGCTTCTCGTGACATTTACAGCCAGCCTTGATGTACAGTCAGCAGTTCACTTGCCATCAGCCTCCCCCTCTCCCACCTTAACTGTAAGCTCTCTTTCTCCTAATACGGCATCTTGCGTATGGCAGGAATTCAAAACATTTAGGGAAATAAATGGTATCAAGGTAGCAGTGATTCTGACCTTATATTTTGCGCATGCTCTCTGATGTTCTTCGATAAGCTCTCTTTTTAATTTAAAAGATACGGGATCTTTACCAAGGTGCACCTGCCTGGGGAGAAGAAAAACAACTTCCAAAACCCATCGGAATAGCACGGTCAACTTCAGGAGGGAACGTCTTAGCTACATCCCACAACTGAGGAGGCCTGCTGAGATACTGGAGAGGACATCATGAGGGGGAGACGTTCTAGACGCTTCAGCAACATAACCACGACGAATAGTGCGTTCTATAAAGACCAAAACCAAACACCAAACCCACTGCTGTCATAGCGACCCCATAGGGCTTCCAAGGCTGTCGATTCCTATGGAAGCAGACTGCCACTTCTTACTCCCGCGGAGCCACTGGTGGTTTTGAACTGCCAACCTTCGGTTCACAGTGGATTGCTTTGACCACTGCACCACCAGGGCTTGTAGTCTGTAAAATGAAGCTTATATTCTAGTGACAGTTACTAAAATATTTATGAATAAAAAAAATCTGAGTGCTCAACATCATTAGTCATTAGGGAAATGCAAATCAAAACCACAATGAGATACGACTTCACACCCACTAGGATGGCTATAATTAAAAATCAAAACCAAAAGAAAATGAAAATAACAAACGTTGGTGAGGATGTGGAGAAATTGGAGACCTCATTCACCGCTGGTGGAAAACAGTTGGGCAGTCCCTCCGAAAGGTAAACGTCGAGTACTGATACTCGCTATAATACGGGTGAACCCTGAAACCACGCTGCTAAGTGAAAGACGCCAGATGTGAGACGACGTGCTGTACGAGCCCCCTTACACGAAATGTCCAGAAAGTAGATCAGTGGTTGTCAGCGCCAGGGGGAGGGCGGAACGGGAAGTGACTGCTTAATGGGTATCGGGGTTCATTCTGAGTGATGGAAACGTTCTGGAATTCGATAGTGGCAAGGATTGCACAAATTGTGAATATATTAAAAACCACTACACTGTACACTTAAAAGTGCTTCAAGTGGTGAATTTTATGTTATGTGAATTTTATCTCGATTAAAATAAAATCTGGTATTAAATGTATCAATCCTGGAGCTTGGCACAGATCCAAAATAAATAGTAGCTATGATTTAAAGGGTGAGGGGGGTGTCTGAAGAGCTTCTTAGAATAAAGGAGACAGAAGTGACATGAAAACTAAATGCAAATCACATGATCTTTGATTGACCCTGGATTCCTCTTTTCCATAAACAAAAAACCCCAGCTATAAATGACATTATTGCAACTGGGGCAATCTGCATATGGACTATTATTATCATATAATATTGTATCGATGTTAAATTTCTTAGAGGTTATTATGGTAATGTAGAGTATGTTTCTGTGTTAGGAGCTACACGATGAAGTATTTAGGGGTGAAAATTCATGATTGCAACTTGCTTTCAAATGATCAGCAAAAAATAGGGCATATGTTTGTGTGTGTGTTCATAGGGGGCAGTAATGTGGCGTGATGTTGACAATTAGTGTACCTAGGTCAAGTATATACAGTTGTAACTTGCAGGTTTCAAATCTTTCAACACAAAATCTTGGGAAAAAATATTAAGTGAAAAACACAGCATACAGAGTTGAATTTAGGTGTGACTTCAAGTACGTTACAAGTAAGCCGAGAATGAAGAAAATGCACCAAAGCGGTAATGGTGGGGTTACAAGTAATTTTTTTTTCTTTCCCTATACTTTTTTTAAAAAATATTTTCAGGCTTTCTACAATGACAATGTATCCATTTTATACAGTTGGGGAAAATTATTTTTAAAAATGATCTTCAGTTACTTGGCATACTTCTCATTTAACTGAGGCCAGACCATGAAAAGAGACGTTGGTGGAAGCAGACGGACTTCTGTCAAAAACAAAGCCCATTCCCATTAAAACAGGGTAGCAGCGTGGTGGAATCACCTTCTCTGAAGTCCCTCGAGATCAGATCAGAACATATTCTTATCTGCACCAGTGGAGATGCCTGGTATAATCTGGTATTTTTTAACAAATTGTGGAAAAGGTTCCATGTTGAGCACAGAAGCACAAATAAGAATTCTCACATCTGAACTTTAAAACCTCCCCCAGGGCCTGCCCCACTCCCATCCCAACCCCAGGTTCATTACCCTGCAGCCCTGGGCTCTCTGGAGGGTATGGGGGGCACACAGCCCAGGGCACAAGGTGCTTATGACGGGGTGAGAGGTGATGGCGGACGTCGGGGTGCTGAAGTAACCCAGACCCGTCCTGGTGTGAGGAGCAGGCTGGCAGTGGGGCTCCGGCCAGCCTCTCCCACAATTCCCCTTGGTTCTGCCACTGTCTAGTCACACCCGGGAAAGAGGAAGATTAGGTCACGTTAATTTACTCCCACTGGAAGGTTTATTTTGAAATAAAAGGGCCAGTGGAGAGGCGAGAATAATCACATTCCCCTAAGGGCATCAAATGGTTTTACGTTTCACTGTGTCTCACGCATAAACAGTCATCCCCTAAAAACAACCACACTGTCACGTGCTACAAAAATCGATCGATATTTACCACTTAAGGTGATTTTTGGCTTCTTCGTAAGTGTCCTGTCTGACTTTCTGTTCAAAGAGAGCTTCCTTCATTTGTCTTGTTTGTGAGATCTCATTGCCTTGGTCCAAAACTGAAGGCAGGAGCAAAGAGTGATCAGATCAGAAGCATTTGCCCAGAGAAACTCACATTCTAATGGCGAAACCCAACGGCCAGCTAACCGACTCTTGTTGTTTGCAAACAATAATTGTGAGAAGCAGGAATCCCCTCATATCCTACCCGGGGGCTGATTTACAGTGGATCAACTGGTTACCTTCTCTTAATTTTCTGATCTTCAGTTTTCCTGGTTCTTGGTTTAAAACGGTTGCCACGGCAAATGGATTTGATAAATCTACTGGAAATCTCAAGTTCTGGTATTCAATTTCCTAAGAGACCCGATCAGGAGGGAAAATTAATTGTTTTCCTTCTGCCTCATTCCTCCATCATCTTTAGGATAATGCCTACTTTACCTTAATCTTCTGAGGCTTTGCCTTTGCTGGTGGTCTGTGAAAATATATACGTGTCATTGTCTTCTCTGGAGGAACATTTACTTTCTTAGAAAGAGCAGTTAATCTTTCAAATTCTTCTAATCTATGGTTTAAAACAGATATTAAATTAGTGTATCATCCAACAACTCAAAGCTCCTATTTTTATGCTCTTTCTGATAATAGCATGACTTGCAGCCCATCAATTATTCTATCTAAACTGAAAATAAAGCTGTGTGCTAAAACAGTGGTCTACTAAAATAAACACGATGTCAGTATATCGGAGTTTAATTATACATCAAAATAGCCCACCCATGGCTGTTCTTCCTTTCATTCCTAGAGAACACAGCAAGTGAAAAACATAATACAATGAAAAATGCTCAAGCTCTAGCATGGTTAATTTTTAGGCTGTTGGTTTTCAACAGCTAAATTTATTACATTTTAAAAATCTTACATTGATTTATCTTCTTAGTTAAAGAACAATTATGCCCACTATTTGTGGCGAGATCTTTCAAAAGAGATCCAGACTAATGCGCTGGATCTTATCTGTAACTGAAAACTGCCTCGGGACATAGGCAGATGGAGACGGTGCCCCTAACGTGCCTACAGAGGCTATTCTAATAAGCCAATTGCCCTTGAGTGGATTCTGACTCATGGCGACCCCATGTGTGTCAGAGTAGAACTGTGCTCCACAGGGTTTTCAATGGTTGATTTTTCAGAAGTAGATCACCAGACCTTTCTTCTGAGATGCCTCTGGGTGGACTCAAACCTCCAACCTTTCAGTTAGCAGACAAGCGCGTTAACCGTTTGCACCCCTCAGGGACTCCGCAGAAGCTAAGAGTGGTTTATTATGAGATGTAGTAAAATCATGTTGTAGTCAGAAATGCTCCCAATGAAGCACTTCTTTAACCAAGAATGTGTGAATACTGGTTTTATAGGATTATGCATATCCATGACATTACAGAAATTAGGTAACTAGTTTCTGTGGAGTTGATTTTGACTCATGGAGACCCCATGTGTTTCAAAGTAAAACTGCACTCCATAGGGTTTTCACTGGCTGTGGTCATTCCGATATAGATCACCAGATCTTGCTTCTGACGTGCTTTTGAGTGGATTTGAACTGTTAACCTTTCAGTTAGTAGCCAAGCCCTTAACCGTTTGCCCACCCAGGAACTCCATACAGATATTAGGTAGGAATATATTAATATTCATTCATTCTGACAGTCAATATGTACTTGCTGAGCACCTGCTGAATACACCCCACTGGGTACTATGGGATATATTCTAGCAATCTCTGATCTAACATCCACCTATTTAAGAGTGTCCTCAAAGGTCCATGGCATGGAAGAACTTGTCATCTGCTGAAGCCCACACTGACTGATGTGTCCTCACGTACGGGGATGAGGCATTAAGCTGGGGAGTGAGCTGTGTCCCAGCATCCACATCTCAACTCAGCTTTGACGTCACCTCTGCTGTAACTTCTGGGAGCAGTATTGAGGGTGTGAAAACCAGGCTTGTAAAGAAACGTGACTGCTAGTGCTGATGACGGAAATGAAGGGTCTAAGAAGATGATAAACTCAAGAGTTACACGTGGAATTTGGCGGTGCTAAGCTTAGGACGTGAGTAAGTCCACACGCCCTATCCTGAAATGAGAAAAGCAATCTGAAATTTTCCAAAACTACTACAGCCAGGATAATTTTCTTCCTTTATGGTAGAATCTGTATGTTATAGTACTATCTGCAATTTGGGGAGAAATGTAGGTCTTGAGACATAGTCCTTGAAAATATCAAAGTATGTTAAACATCACAATCTTAAACGCTAGCCGGGAAACCAAAACATGTCACAGTGAAATCTGTGAGAGCTGGAACGAAGTGCCTTGTGTTTCCGGGTCTCCCAAGTTTTCTGCCTTTGACAGGGTAGACCACCACGCTATAGCTCTCTATTAGCGGAAAACATTTGAGTTTTTCTTCTCTGACAGGTTTCCACCTTACACAGGTTCCGGCTTACACAGGCTGCCCTGTAGTTTAGAAACAGTGCAATCTACGTGTGTATTGTGCTTCTACTGTTCGAGGGTGTGCTCACGTATCTGAGAACGAGTCTGTGGAAGGACATGGACAAGTGAAAACCCCCCTAGTAGGAAGCCGTTTACACACTGCAGCACATGACACGAGAGGGCAAAGAACGCTTGGCTAGGCCAGTATCCGACATGAGAAAAGTGAGCGCCGTTCTTCATTTGTATTCAATTCTACTTGTTTGCTGCCCAAGTGATTTTGGTTTCTTGCAGGGTTTGGGTTCAGCAAACCTCACTAATACCCCATAGTTGATTTAGGCTACTTTGAATTTGAGGAAGAAAATCATGGAATAAATGTATAATAAAGCATGGCATTAGATCCTATTTTGGTATAAGATTGTTACTGAATTTTAATATGTCCAATGGCGTGAATATGTGGCATGTCCCTAGGTATGGAGGGAAGAGGAGGAAAGTCAAGATATTTATTTTTAATTTTCCAAGTAATTTTAAGGATTTTCCAAGATTCGTATTTATATCGTGACACTTTTCCTTTTAACTTTTATAAAAATCATGTGCATTAGGAAAAAAACTTACAATATTAACTATGTACACTGGGATATAAAAATACCACTCACACTCAAATGACAATGGAAGCTCAGAAAAGATGTGTCATGGAATAAAAATCCCATTTCGCATCGTTCCTCTAACTTGAGCTTTGCTGGCACTTTAAAAAAAAAAAGACTCCTGTGCGGCACATTTCACTTCTGCCCTTGTTGTGCATGACTTACTTCTGCTCCACTTTTGTGAGTATCTCAGGGTGTGGGACATTTCCTACGGGGCTTGGCACTGGGCATTGCACACAGCAGGCACTCAGTTAGTTATAGTGTTGTATTTAAACTTTAAAAATAGGTATTTTGTTCCGGCCTTATTATTAACATTTTTGAATAGGCAGTAAACCAAAAACCCATTGCCATCGAGTTGATTCTGACTCACAGCGACCCTATAAGATAGAGTAGAACTGCCCCATAGAGTTTCCAAGAAGTACCTGCTGACCCTCTGGTTAGCAGCCACAGCACTTAACCACTACGCCACCAGGGTTTCTGCAGTAGGTGATCAAAAATTCCAACAGCACATCAGCAGTAACCGGTGAAAAGAAAGCATCCCTCGAAAAGCCCTTTCTCTCAGTCATTTCTAGCCCCTTTCGCAGGAGCAACTGCTGCTACTGGTATAGAGATATTCTGTGCACCAATGTTGTATTTTAAAATATACTTTACGTTCATTTTAAGTAAGTGTTTGATGGCATTCTATCACAAGAAAGAAAAACAGAATGGAAGAAAGAAGATTTGGATTTTTAAAAACAATTTTCAGAATAAAGCCAACATTCCAAAGAAGCCATACTTCAAACCCATGTTGGGGTAGCATGTCCCGGTGACCACACATTCGTAAGGCTGGGAGTTGAACTGTGAGATCCACAGCTGCACTTTGATCTGTGCAGTTCCATACTGAAACGGTGTGAACTTGACAGTCACATTCACCTTCCCATTAGCCGGAATTATTCCTGAGGGGAAAAAAATGAGATAAGGTGATACACTCTCTTCTTGCCAATTCCAGTCAAACAGACTGACACACGCAATATACTCTATTATCTTCATCTAGTCTTTTCATTAAACACGTGTGAATAGACTTCTGCACTTTACATGGATCTAATCTATCAATTTCTACATTAATCCTTTATAATAATTATTTGACTGTATGTATATATTACATAAAAACCCATTGCCATCAGGTCGATTCTGACTCATTGCGACCCCATGTGTATCAGAGTAGAACTGTATTTCATAGGGTTTCAATGGCTGATTTTTTGGAAGTAGACTGTCAGGCCTTTCTTCCAAGGTGGCTCTGGGTCGACCTGAACCGTCAATCTTTCAGTTCAGCAACGAAATGCATTAACCATTTGCACTACCTCGGGACTCTTATATGATATATATCTACATATACATATAGGTCAGCTAAAATATATATATATCATATAGTATACATGATATACAATATATATGTATACATCAGCATTAGTGAATCAAAAATAAATTTCTAGACCTATAATTTGCAAGACCAACGACCTATTCATTGGAAACACCTTTTTTCAACAACATAAACAGTGACTATACACGTAGACCTTGCCAGATGGAATACACAGGAATCAAATCGACTATATCTGTGGAAAGAGATGATGGAGAAGCTAAATATCACCAGTCAGAGCATGGCCAAGAGCCAACTGTGCAACAGACCATCAATTGCTGATATGCAAGTTCAAGATGAAGCTGAAGAAAATTAAAACAAGTCCACAAGAGCCAAAGTACGACCTTCAGTATATCCCATCTGAATTTAGAGACCATCCCAAGAATAGATTTGACGCACTGAACACTAATGAACGAAGACCAGCTGAGTTGTGGGATGACATCAAGGGCATCATACATGAAGAAAGCAAAAGGTCATTAAAAAGACATGAAAGAAAAAAAAAAAAAAGACCAAAATGGATGTCAGAAGAGACTCTGAAACTTCCTTCTAAACTTAAAACAGCTAAGAATGGAAGAAATGATGAAGTACAAGAACTAACAGAAGATTTCAAAAGGCATCTTGAGAAGACAAAGTATTATAATTAAATGTGCAAAGACTGGATTTAGAAAACCAAAACGGAAGAACACACTTCGCATTTCTCTGGCTGAAACAACTGAAGAAAAAATTCAAGCCTGAGTTACAATACTGAAAGACTCTATGGGCAAAATCGAGCCCTGGTGGCACAGTGGTTAAGAGTTCGGCTGCTAACCAAAAGGTTGGCAGTTTGAATCTACCGGTCACTCCTTGGAAACCCTACGGGGCAGCTCTACTCTGTCCTATTGGGTCTCCATGAGTCAGAATCAACTCAACGGCAATGAATTTGGTTTTCTTTTTATAGGCAAAATATTGAATGATGCAGGAAGCATCAAAGGAAGATGGAATGAATACACAGAGTCACTACACCAAAAAGAATTGGTTGACGTTCAACCATTTCAAGAGGGAGCATATGATCAAGAGCCGATGATACTGAAGGGAGGAGTCCAAGCTGCACTGAAGGCACTGGTGAAAAACAAGGCTCCAGGAATTGATGGAATACCAACTGAGATGTTTCAACAAATGGATGCAGTGCTGGAAGCACTCACTCGTCTATGAGAAAAAATTTGGAAGACAGCTACCTGGCCAACCAACTGGAAGAGACCCATATTTGTGCCCATTCCAAAGAAAGGTGATCCAACAGAATGTGGGAATTATTTAACAACATCATTAATATCACATGCAAGTAAAAGTATGCTGACGATAACTCAAAAATGGTTGCAGCAGTACATCGACAGGGAACTGCCAGAAATTCAAGCCGGATTCAGAAGAGGATGTGGAACAAGGGATATCATTGCTGATGTCACATGGATCTTGGCTAAAAGCAGAGAATACCAGAAAGACGCTTACCTGTATTTTACTGACTATGCAAAGGCATTTGACTGTGTGGATCATAAGAAATTATGGATAACATTGCAAAGAATGGGAATTCCAGAACATTTAATTGTGCTCATGAGGAACCTGTACATAGATCTAGAGGCAGTCATTCGAACAGAACAACGGGATACTGAGTGTTTTAAAGGCTGGAAAGGTGTGTGTCAGGGCTGTATCCTTTCACCATACTTATTCAATCTGTATGCTAAGCAAATAATCCAAGAAACTGGACTATATAAAGAAGAACAGGGCATCAGGATTGGAGGAAGACTAATTAACAACCTGTGATATGTGCAGATGACACAACCTTGCTTGCTGATAGCAAAGAGAACTTGAAGCACTTACTGATGAAGATCAAAGACTGTGGCGTTCAGTACGGATTACACCTCAACATAAAGAAAACAAAAATCCTCACAACTGGACCAATACGCAACATCATGATAAACAGAGAAAAGATTGAAGTCATCAAGGATTTCATTTCACTTGGATCCGTAATCAACACCCATGGAAGCAGCAGTCAAGAAATCAAACCATGCATTGTGTTGGGGAAATCTGCTGCAAAAGACCTCTTTAAACTATTAAAAAGCAAAGACGTCACTTTTTTTTGGTTTTTTTTTGCTATTTTACTTATTATTTTTTTTATTGTATTTTAGATGAAGGTTTACAGAACAAATAATTTCTCATTAAACAGTACACATATTGTTTTATGACAATATTTAACAGCCCCATGACATGTCAACACTGTCCCTTCTCGACCTTGGGTTCCCTATTACCAGCTTTCCTGTCCCCTCCCGCCTTCTAGTCCTTGTCCCTGGACTGTTGTACCCCATTAGTCTTTTTGTTTTATGGGGCTGTCTAATCTTTGGCTGAACAGTGAACCTCGGGAGTGACTTCATTACTGAGCTAAAAGGGTGTCCGGGGGCCATGTCTCGGGGGTTTCTCCAGTCTCTGTCAAGCCAGTAAGTCTGGTCTTTTTTTTTTTGTGAGTTAAAATTTTGTTCTACACTTTTCTCCAGCTCTGTCTGGGACCCTCTGTTGTGATCCCGGCCAGAGCAGTCAGTGGTGGTAGCTGGGCACCATCTAGTTGTACTGGACTCTGTCTGGTGGAGGCCTTGGTAGTTGTGGTCCATTAGTCCTTTGGACTAATCTTTTCCTTGTATCTTGTGTTCTTCATTCTCCCTTGCTCCCAAAGGGGTGAGACCAGAGGAGTATCTTAGGTGGCTGCTCACAGGCTTTTAGGACTCCAGATGCTACTCACCAAGATAGAATGTAGAACATTTTCTTTATAAACTGTATTATGCCAGTTGAGCTAGATGTTCCCCAAGGTCCTGGTCCCCAAAGCCCTCTGCCCAGCAATTCAGTCCCTCAGGGAGTTTTGGTATGTCTATGGAGCTTCCATGACCTTTCCTTGTACAAGTTGTGCTGGCTTCCCCAGTATTGTGTACTGTCTTACCCTTCACCAAAGTTACCATTTATCTATTGTCTATTTAGTTCCCCCTCATCCCTCGTAACCAACAAAGATTGTTACTTTTTGTGTGTAAACTTTTTCATGAGTTTTTACAGTAGAGGTCTCATACAATATTTGTCCTTTTGTGATCGACTTATTTCACTCAGCATAATGTCCCCCAGTTTCATCCATGTTATGAGATGCTTCACAGATTCATGGTTGTTCTTTATCATTGCATAATACTCCATTGTGTGTATGTACCATAGTTTGCTTATCCATTCATCTGTTGATGGGCATCTAGGTTGTTTCCATCGTTTTGCTATTGTGAACAA